ATGTCTTCACCATCTTTTGAGGAGTTGCTTTTGTCCAACATTTCAATTTCAAATCTTTATTTGTTGGTGATCGAAAAACTAAAATAGTTCAACTTAAAAAAGAATTAAAGAAATTGTGTATAGACGTACGGTGTTTGTTCTTTTCGATTCAAAAGTCGGTTGGTCCTCACAAATAATTGTTCCTCTAAAATTTTTTCTTTAATATTTGACCTCGAAGGCGGCAAAAAAAAACAAAAATTTGAGTCCTGAGAATAACCTCTCAACACCAACTTGAGTTGCCGGTACGCTTAGCAATACTTGAGCAAGCATGTATAACTCGGGATTAAGCTCTTCCTTTTTCTTCCAGAAATCAAAAATTGTTTCATTTTTTCCGTAAGCGTATGCGGCTTTGTTCCACTTTATAGGAATTTAAAATATTTTCAATTTTGTTAAGGGCTACAAATGAACCTTGTGAAGAAAATTCGTGCTGATTAATTCCTTTTAAAAATTTTTGCTGTGAATCTTTATGTCCCAAAAAGAGTTCCATTTCATCGCTTGATGAATTAGATGATTCAGTTTCCATATCGTGTTGGTCAGAGTCATATTTAGAATTAGAAGAATTGCACTCTTTGAAGAATATCAGTCTAGTCCATAACGACTTTAAATGTGCTTTTGCTCTTTCTACTTGATTGTAGTTTAAAACTACCTTATACCGAGGGTCCAAAAATATTCCAGCAAAGATTATTTTTCATTTGCTGATAAAATGTACAGTAATTTCTTTCAAACGTTACAAGCAGTTCAGCACGTAACAGTGTGTTAATATCAAATATGGGTTCCGTTACGGTTCCGTTCCGGTTTTGGGTCCATACCGGTTCCGGTCCGGGTCCCTGGAAATTACCACAAAGAATGTTGTCACAATTATTTATCACGGTGTGTATTAAATGCAGCTATAAAAAACCTAGTTTGAAAGCGCGCGAGTCACTTAAAGATAATGTTGCTGATCTGTTCTTTTTTGTGCAGCAAATTTTAAAGCATTTTACTGATCTGCCTGGGAAATAGAGAAGTTCCAGATTAGCAAGTGAATTCTCAATGTCTACTAAGGTGGAAATTCGCTTAATTTAATTAAACCGGGTAATTAGACTAAGTATTCAAACATTCAGCATGCAAGCTAATTATCTCTTCGGCATTCGCAAGAGCAACTCCAGTTTTTTGGCCAATTAAATTGGATATTTTAAACTCTAAATCAGAGAAGTTGCATCAAGGAAGATCTATCTGCTCGGGTTCATAAATCAAATAAATAAAACGCATATAATTCATCAATTAGACTAAGTAGGGAGTTTCGAAATTCATCAAGTTCTACTTGAGCCAATTATGGACTGTTGAATAGAAACGAAATAAATTTCTGGCCGAGATCAAACAGTTCCGAATAGCCATAAAATTGACTGTATACATACTGATCGTGAGCACTCTTTCACAAGATAAGTAGAATTTTATGTAGGAAATCCGGTTTTCCAGTTTCAGCGCTGTCACAAATAAGCAGTTCTTGCAAAGAATGTCTGCACTGAAGTGCAATTTGCTTGTTGACCACTTCGCGCCAATCGAAATTCCAGAAATCCGATGTGTCTTTATACCGAGAATTTGAATTTAAAGCACTCGCTCAGTGCCTTTGTCTGAACTTTTCTTGCCCTTTTTCGATTGCAATTTGCCCAATAGTGCAGATATCTTTGATATGCGTTGGCTGTGATTGGAAAAATTGATTCTTCTTGAGCGTTTTTGTCGTTTGATCCGAGGAAAGTTCCTCCCAACTGTATCTCAATTGAATTGAAGTTCGCTCTTGCGAAAGTAGTTCGAACGCAAATGTAATTAATATTCTCATATCAATAGGCTCCTTAAAGAGCCGCGCATACATTTTCGATCATTAATAACTCCACCCCTACGCATTCATCAATCAGAGCGAATCCTTCAGACTACTTTTTTATCATATTGGGGAATTTTTAACATAGTGGTCCATCACTTCTGTTCATTTTTCTTGAGACTCGCGACTTTATATTTAGACAAATGATCGAAGCTCTATAAAATTGACAGGCACTCGATAATGCGATTGAGGCGGCATTTTATTGAGGTTTGCGTATAAATCGAGGCCCCTATTTGAGAGAGAAAGATTATGCAAATGTGCTTTTTCATTAGAGACTCGAAATTTTCAGGATTTATTTTATATGGCTTTTTCAAGCATTTGAGACGTGTCTGCTAATGAGAAGCTCTACGGTATCTTCGTTTCAAAAACCGTTCCATTAATAAATGGAAGACACCTTTAGTATTGGACCGATCAATATTAATTCCCGAAACTTTTTCAAAGACTCCATCACGAACAAAAATTCAATTCAATTTCAAAAGTTTTATTTTCATCTGATCAATTTTCACTGCTTTTGTTATGTTAAATCTACATTTTCCCAGACTATATAAGTACATGTATTTAGCATTTAGATATTCTGTTTTAGAGGCAGAATGCTTAAGAATATTAAATACCTTTGTAAAACCAGCATACCTTGAAATTTATTTTTTGAGAATAAAAAAGTCACAAAAGTGAAATTAATGGGTTTTTTTCGATTTTTTAGGCCGTCGTTCGGTACAATTTCTTCTTGACGTTTCGTAAGCACGAGTGGCTT